ATGTCTTTTTTCATTGAGAAACACTCGCCCTCTCTCTCTCTCTCTCTCTCTCTCTCTCTCTCCTCTCTCGCTCTCCCTGTCATCTCTCTCTGGCTCTCTCTGTCATTTCTCTCTCTCTCTCTTTCTGTATGTGTGTGTGTGTGTGTGCGCACAAACACACACACATTCTTTTCCTCTCTGTATCTGTCTTTTTTCATTCAGAAATACACTCTCTCTCCCTCCCTCCCGACAAGACAGATCTAGAAAATTTAGATAAGATCAAGTCAGGAGTTCACGAGTCTCAATCCCAATCCATCTTTCCTCGACCAAGCACGCTGGAGAAATGAATGGGAAATGAAACACCGAACGAAAGACCTTGACTTTTGGGAACACCGAACGGCTTTGACTTTGAAAATATGTGCCCCTAACAGTCCAGTGTTAGGCGGGCGTACGCGTGCCTAACAACTTCCTTAACGAATTCATGACAGCACTAAACTGACTTCCGATAGTGGATATGACGCGGAACGGGAGTGCTTCTATAAAAATACCGGAAGATGGGGTTCTATCCCCCCTGACAAACTTTCAATGAAAAGATCTACCGGTCTGAGATTCTTCGGGAAGATTGAAAAATACAGGACCACTGGCATTATTGTGCGAGAATTGGGGGGGGGGGGGGGGTGGGGGGGGGGGGGGGGGGGGGGGGTGTCTCCCCCCTGACAAACCTTCAAGATAGAATCTAGATCTAGACTACCAGCCCGAAATTCTTTTGTTTTGAGAGAGATTAAAAGCTGGGGGAAAATCATGAATTCCTAAGGTTGTCGAGGCATAGGCAAAAGTTCAAAAGTAGTCCGAATCCACTGGTCTGGTATTCTTCAATCTTACTGATTCTTCATTGAGAGAGAATTAAAAACTGGGGAAAATCATGAATTCCTAAGGTTAAGACATAGATTCTAGATCAGGCAAAAGTAGGCTAGTCCCAATCCGCTGGTCCGGAATTTTTCAATCTTACCAAAAATTTAAATCAGTTTTACTTTATTATAACCTTATTTAAATAATTAACTGTAACATAGCTAAAAAATAATAAAAAGGAAGTGACTGTTTCTCAGAACGTTCAGGAAAATAAAGTCGAACTCTATTTCTCCGAATGGTTTCCGAATCTCGAGATTTTTTGGTTATAAAGCGAGATTTAGGCGTCATCCTTCATACTGCCATTCTGCGAGGACTGGGAAGAAGCATTTTTTGCATCGAATTCAATTCCTAGAGCTAGAGATTTTTAAATGTCTGAATATTCAGATACTTCAGTTGTGGTTTGGGCAACGTTCCCGGACTATACTTCGTTTGAAAATACCTTCAAAAGGTACTGCGAGAAAACAAGACTGCTTGACCTTAGCAGTAACCTATTTTGCATTTAGTCACCAAGCAAAAACTAAAATCCTTCAAGTAAAAAAAGAATCCCTCCATGCCGCTCCCCCCCGTTCACTCCTTACACACACACCGACACACACACATACACCTCACACACCACACCCGGGCCTCTCCATTCGTTTATTATCAACAAATCTCGAGGCAGAAACCGTTTGGAGAAATAGATTGCAAGTTAATTTTCCCGGACTTTCAGAGAAATAGAGCCAGCCTAATAATAATGGGAAACATCAAAATGACGTTGCGAAATGACAATCTGGCATTTCCGCTAGTCATCTACCGAAAGTCGTGCAGTCTCCCTGCCAATGTAAACAAACTCGTAGGGACCGCAGAAGGTAAGGATTACCTCTTGGTGCTTCTTTAGACAATTACGGGACTGGGATGAGTTCCGCAGAGGGCTGGCACTTACCTGACAACAATGTCCACTGAGCAAACTATACTTGGGTTAGGGTTCTTTCCTTTGACCTTTCCAAAATACTGAATTAACTGAACCTAACTTTTTTGTAAACCCAGCTCAAAGTATCCCCTCTTTTTTGTGTCTTGTTTGTCAGCCAGCCCTCAGTCTCTGTGAAACTCCTTTCGGGGGATTGGCCTTTCTATCCCCCTTTACATCAGCCCTCCACCCTGCCCCTCTTCCTCCCCTGCTTTGTGCCCCTTCATCTCCTCCCCCCCCCCTCCCCTACTGCGTTCCCTCTTTGAGCCTTTCCTAGTGCCTGTGGTTCTCCTGAGTAAACTGCATTTGCAAACCTTGCAGTCTCGAATTACTCCATTTGCTCCTCACAGTATCCATTTTTTGCAAACCTTGCAGTCTCGAATTACTCCCTTTGCAGTTCAGCGTCTTATTGAGTCCAGTCTCACGTAAGTGCTTAATTTATTGTGATGCTTACAAAACTTTAAACCATCCGGACTGAAACGGTCAGTCATTTGCACTGCGTTGCTGAACTTTGTTTGAACTTGCTTTTGTACGTAGGCCTACTCTTGGTCTTCTTCTTCTTCTTCAGTTTTTGTAGTGTACAGCATCAGAATCAATCTGGGCAGAAGAAGGGTGCTGCACAATCACAGACAACTGAACTGAACAGTTCTACAAGTTGTAAAGAAAATAATACGTAGGCCTAGCTGATTGAAGTAGATAAATAACTGCATTTTTATCAAAGTGAAAATTCAAATTTATAGCTTTGTTTTATCAGTGGATGTAACTTTAAAAATGTGTTTTTTCTTGTTTTCTCAGATTCCGAAATGAGTAACCAGTATGGAACGAACAAAAACCCACCTTGGGCTCGTCAAGGTAGGATTCATTTTTGTCACAACGCTGTTGAACCAGGTTCTCTTCAATTTTTGAGCATATATGTGGAGTTACTGATCTTTTTAAAAGTTGTTAATTCCCTTGCTTTTGTTGAAAATAGAGATACGTCAAGAAAGCACTGAGGTCGCGATATCTACTTGTACTAATTTTGGGAAGGGGGGGGGGGGTGTGTGGGAATCATGTTCTCTAATTTAGTAATCTCCAAAGTTTGAGCGAAAGGAAACCAGTCTGGAAATCTATGTTTGTCTCATCATCTGTGTTAATGATCATAAGTATACCTTGTGGATTTATAATATTTTCATCTGTCTTTAAAAAATTCTAAGTTGAAGTAAAACAACATTTTGTAACATAATTTAGCAGTTTGTCTTTGGAACTCTGTAATAAAAGAAAACAGATTTTTTGCTCATCATTTTATTTTATACTTTTATTTTTATTTAGTGAAATCCAGGTTATAACTTCTTTTTTAGGTTTAGAATTTGGTGTAAGTTAAATGTGCAAATGTTTCTAACTGTATTTTATAATGGCACCCATTTTATTTGTACTTTAGAAATGATGAGAGTTGTTAGTGTATTCTAGTGTAAACCAATTTCTTTGCAATGAAGCTTAGTATGAAAAGCAAATTATTTCTCGACATTATTTACAATATTTTTTCTTGTTTTTTTTGGTCTCCAAGAATTTACAAGTCAAATTGAGCCATGCTAGTTTGTTGTGAGATGTGTTTTCTTCATTTCTAGTTCAATAAGTAGTAGCACAGTACCTCTGTATCGTCTGATTTATCGGTGCTTATCATTTTCAGCTCAGAGTTTTGTTACTGTGTCACTTATTTAATCAATCCTTGTTATTTCCTTTTCAGAATTTAGTAACCAAAATGCTGGCATTATCCCTTCCAACGTCAGCTATCCGTATAACCATGCTCAGACACAATTTGCGCAGCAGCAGTTGGCTGCTACTGGGGTGAGTTTTGTCTGTCTCTTTCCTTGGTGTCCCACAACTTATGGCTTATAGCCATTGTCATTTCCCGACTTTTCGTTTCCATTATTTTAACATGTCCCCTAAACTTTCAGAAACGCAGTATTTTTCACAAACAGGACTCCCCTTTTCAGGCCAACTGAAGAGGTTCCTTGACCCTTTGGTTTTCTATCTTAAAGGGTATTTAAACCCTTGTTTTAGAAACTTAAAGGGTAAAGGCTGATTATCTCATAATTTTGTAGTAAGATTTTTTGCTTATATACTCACACGCACATTCACACAGACACACACTGAGTGACCATTACTGTGAATGCTAACGATTTTTATTTAACTTAAGAAATAAATGAGTAATATTGACTAGAATTACAGTTGTGTCCATTTGGAGGGGGGAAGGGTGGTGGTGGTTGAGCAGTTGGGCCTATCAAAATAAAATAAAGTTGACAAGCCAAAAGGGGTCAATTTTGACTGTAATACACCAAGAAAAACAAACGTTCCACTCTATGAAATCTAAAAGTCAGGTTCTCTGCAGGGAAAAAAAATTGGGACTTTGTGAAAAAATTGGGGATCAACTAAAAATCACCTAGGTCACTGCCAAGCTGACTTAAAAAATTTCCAGGGGTGTCCATACATATATGGTTGCTTATAAGGACACGCAGGCTGACCCGAAAAATGCTGTTTTGGGAAAATCAAAGTTACTTTTTGGACTCTTATTCAGGCTCTTTAAAAGACAAGAAGAGTTTTCTCTATTACCAAACAAATATACACACCAATGAAACCAAACTTCTCCTATAGGTAGGGCAATAGCCACTTCTGGTACAGGTCAAGATTTGTGGAAACCCCGAAATCTGGGTTAGCCCGCTTGTCCTTAAAAGCGACTTTATGTATGTTCCCTCTGCGCGCGCGCTTGTGTGTGAGTGCGTGTTCGTACGCGTGCCTGTGTGTTTTATCATTATTTTTTTTTAATCCTGAAGTATCGCGTCAAGCTCTCCTAGTCCAAGTGTTTTGCACGCCCTCCGATTGAAACAATTTTACTGACGGGTCTTGATGAAGGGCCCGACTAACCAGAACTCGGACAAAGCATGGTTTGGCGAAAGTACATCTGTCGGAATGCCAAATCAATACTACTTCCATAATAGTTGAAAAAAACACGTGTGAGCAAAGATCCAACACAACTTTTGGTGAGTCGGCTACTAAATCCAGCATAGACATTTAGGAAAATAGTGCTCCAAGTTTCTGCTGACAAAAAGTTTAACGAGTGCTTCCCACGACAGAAAAGAAGGCAGAGTAAGATTTTAGGAAAATCCAGCGCAACAGACGGAATAAAAAGACAGGAAAAAAAATCGGGGTACAGGCGATCAAAATTGGGAAAATCGGGATGCTTGAGGTTTAGGGCAGGGATGAGTGGCAGGTTTGGAAAATAAACTGATTCATTATTCTTCTGAGCCATCCCAGGGTTCACATTCCAGTCTTTTCAGACTTTCGATGGTGGACAATTCATGTTTACTAGTGTGTTAAAGAAGGACGGGAGTAATCTCGTGGCAGGGGTAAACTCAAGGCATGACACCGGCAAATGTGAGTGACTAGTATGTGGGTGGAGCTTCTCTGCTGAGGCCAGCCGGTGTTGCCGGAAACTGCGCGCAGCTGATAAGTAGGTTGACTTCTTTTGACCCAGAAGGTGACTGTCGTGCCATGTATGTGTGTAGGCGTGTTGTCAAATTTTAATCATTGACTCGGCTTCCGGCTAGAGAAGGGGGAAAATGATGCTTGCCACACGCACACCACCTATGTTTTAAAGCGTATGCAAACCCCCGAAATGGAATTATAAAGAGTAACACTCAGGCACCACCAAAACTTTAATGGGGTAATCTGCAGGTTTAATGCGTAATATTCGCACATAATTGTGCGTAATTGTGCGTAATGGGGATCCCTGACAAAGTATCTCCTTGATATTTCCACTTCACTTTCAACATGACATGTTTTGATTCATTAAGTTTCCTGGTACTCAACTTGGTCAAGTCAAGATTATTTTTTTTCCTACCAGGCGAACCTTCAAGGAAACCCAGCTGGAAATATGCTATCTCAGCCTGGGCTGGCACTCCCTTCTTCATTAGCTGGCAATGCCTCACAGGTAATTGTGGTTCAATAAATAACTAATGCATGCATCTCTTTTATGAGGTGTAGACTTTGGCTGAAAATGTTTCTGTTAAATTTACATTGTTTTCAATCTCAAGAATAAAAAAAAATGTAAACTTATACTTTTACAAAGTTGCAATATTTTATTGCGGGATGGTCTGCTGTCGTTGTTCTCATTTGGTTCTCTCTTTTTCCTATCTTGTCTGTAATCTCTGTTTTTTGTATTATCTTTTCTTTTTCTTTTTTATTGGCGCTTTCCTCCATACCATATGGCTCTTTTTTATGGAACTAAAGGATGGGACTAATTAATATGGGGGGGGGATCATATCATTGTTAAAAGTGCAATGTGGAGAACCCATTTTCTCCAAGTCTTTTTGTCTTTCACTTGCTCAAACTAGAAGTTTTTATAAAAGACTGCATTTATGTAGGGTATATTTCTGTTCTAGGAGAAAGATTCTGTGTGTTGAACCTTTAGTTATTGCGCTGGCAGATGCAGTAAAGGGGGCTCTCGTGGCCTAGAGGTTAAGGTATTTGGCTCTCATTCAAAGGTCCCGGGTTCGAAGCCGGATAGTGATTGAAAAATTTTCTTCTCTAAAATTTTCTGCTTTCACCTTCTTTCCTTCTCTCTTGCAATATTCTGTCATCTGCTTTCGTCTTCACTTTCTACCCCTACCCCCTCACCTCCTTTGCCCCTTCCACTGGGCTCCTGACTCTTTCTGCAGCCTTTCTGCTGCTACTCCTTGGCTCCTTACTACTGTCTTTCAGTCACAACCCTGATCTTCTGGTAGGAAAGATCTACACCTACCCTTCTTGGACAAGGGGGAAAAATCTCGGAGGTCTCGTGTGCAAGTTGTGCACCTTAAAGATCCCTTGGTGGTCCAAAAGAGTAGGCTTTGGCCGCCACCCGCGGAAAATTCAAAATTTCCTACCTATTGAAAATGTTGGGTGTGACCCGCGCGCTCATACGACCTTATGCAGTTGCGAGCGCCATAAAACACTTACCAAAAAAAATATTACAAAATTCAGTAACCTTTCTGAAACATTTTCACCTCCTTACGAACCACTCATGAAGGTACAAGCATTCCATTTGATTTTTTATTGTTTTTTTGCTCAGGACTCAAGAAGCAGACTGGTTTTGCATTGACATGTTCAATATTTACAAAATGAAAACTGATTTGACTTTGTTCACGTCCCTGCATAGACATATATTGTCAGTGCAGTGTGCTATCTGCCCATGAACAAAATTTGAAAACTCTGGGCTAAGGTATTTGACCTAAGCACAATCTAAAAAATCAGGTCTCATATTTTGATTTATTAATTCATGACTAACTTAAATATAAATTGTAAAAATCAAGAGGCTAAAGCATGTATTAGACGAATAAGACATTTTTTTCACATATTTTCGAAAGCTTCTGAATGCTCCATAGACGGGTAGAGAAATGCACTGACAATATATAATAGGTTGATAGGATCTGTGTATTTGCTAACTTGAAAGGCTTGCTAATTCCAGGTTGGCACTGTGAGCTACCCAATCAAAGCTCAGAGCAGTGCTGCTGCAGTCACAAACCAGAAGCCCAGGCAGCGAATATTTACTGGCGGCGTCACCAAGATGCATGAGAATTTTGGATTTGTAGATGAAGAGGTCTTTTTCCAAGTGAGGTGTGTGGTGTTCCTCTAGACTGGATTTAGAATTTATACAATGGATATGAATAACTCTATAACCAATTATTAAGGACATTTTGCTCAAATGACATTGGCGTCATGACTTTGGCGAGATCTTCTGGTTTATGAAAATGTTTTTAGATTCATTATCTGGCTTTTAGGAAGAAAATTATGATCATTTGAATGTGATGCTTTGAGTACTGATTTCTTAAACTCCTCTGAGTTTAAAAGAACCTCTCTAGGCCGTGTTCATAATTTGAGCACATAATAGTAGTTGAGTGGGAATAGTTTTCTATACTGCAAAAGAGATATACCTTTTTCTTTATACGTGTCACCATGTATTGGAATCAGGCGCTCGTTGAATTTTGGGGCCATTGGTATCTTAAAATTTGTTCATTTGTTGTGCTTTTGGTGAAAAAAATATCCAAATGAATAGAAGTTGAGATATTTGCGATTGAAGGGGGTGGGGTCACCTTGTTTCAGGGGCAAAACTGGCGAGAAAATGGCCGCCAATGTTTGGTACTTCCGTAACTTGAGAGTCCTTGGAAACTGAAAATTAACATAGATGCTGTTCCAAAATTAAGCCTGTTTATGTTCATATCTATATTATACACATTAAGCAGCCAATCACGCCTAATTTGTTTACAAAATCCTGTTGCTTTTTTTTGTCTAATGTGAACAGCTGTGTGAAAGGAAGTATCCCTAAAGTTGGAGACCGGGTTCTTGTTGAAGCTTCCTACAACGCCAGCATGCCTTTCAAGTGGAATGCTACAAGAGTGATATCATTGGTAAGAGCATCACTGTACTAAGACCAATGATGTAGCAATGCTGTTGTGTGTTTGATAGCATAATTTCACACATCAGCATTTGTGTTTGATTTGATTTGAAAAAGATGCATGTTTTGTTCATGTTGGTGAGGTTAATAGAAGTAAAAACCAACTTCAGGTTCCTTTTGTTCATCAGGAGGCTTTAGCAAACTTGAGTATGATTTAGTAAATGTTCTAAATTTGGAAAAAATGAAGTCTGTGTTTAAACTTGAATATGGAGATTAAATACACATTTTTGTGCTTGTCATCACGTTCAGTCAGAGGCGATGGGAAACTCACAGATTATGGCACTGCAACAACAACAACAGCAGCAGCAACAACAGCAGCAACAACAGCAACAGCAGCAACAACAGCAGCAGTTAAAAGCAATTCAACAGCAAGCAATCGGGCTGATGGGGGCCTCTGGTCTGATGGGAGGTCTCGGAGCGGGGGCCTTGTCTGGCGGCCAGGGCCTGTTGAGCAATCCTCCAGGGCCACCGCCTCTCATGGGCGGACTCAACAAGTTCCAGGGTGGAAGTAAGAGTGCATGGTTTGACTTTTACTTCGGCTTTGTCTGTCCTCTCTTTACTCTTAGTTTAGTTTTAGTAAGAGTTTTACGTCACTTGCAACACAATAAGGTTATATAAGTGCCGAAGAATAGATGTTACAAAAGAGTAATGTACTCAAAAAAGAAGGAGGAGAGATAAAGACGATAGATGTTTGATAGTAAAGAAGGAGAAAACTACACCAGAGCACCCGCCAACCATCCATTCGCTTTATTCTCGTGTGATTCCAGTTAGTATTTGAAAGACTGGCAAGTACTGAATCTTTTAGTATAGTGAGGGTAAAAGTCGGTATGGTTACTGAGAGATGGTGCTTTAGTTTATTTAAATATTTGTTAGTCTCGTCTTTTTAATCTTGCGTAACACATTTCGTACAATGCTCATGGAACCCCAAACGAAGGGAAACTTCTAAAAAAAACAAAAAATCGTGACATATCTAAGGATTATACATGCTTCTCTTTTTAAAAAAATATTTTAAAATTTAAATGTAAACTTACGATGAATTTGCAAACTTTGGCATGGTTGTTACTTTTTTAACTTGCAGTGGACTTTTGTTCTGCCTGTTTCAGTTCAGTTCAGTTGTCTTTTTCAGTTGTCTCCAATTACTGTTTCTGCTATTTTATTACAGTTTTAATTTAGGGAAAAATAAGGTTTGTACCTTCATTTGCTTCATTATGTTTTGTTGAATACTCCTTGCTGCTCAGTCTATGAAAACTATTGCTTAGTTTGTACAACTGTTACAGGGGGAGGGTGGGGTGGGGACATTTCTTTGGCTTTATGAGATATTAACTGACTTTTAACTCCTCCAGACATGTTCAATTCTGGGACTCGCTCTGGCATCAACACTGGACCTGGTCTGTTGGGTGACCCGGGCCCGAGAGCCTTGCTAGCAGCTGCGGCCAAGGAGAGAGGAATTGGTGTGAGTGGAGGAGGAGGGTTGGGTGTCAACGACAGTCAGAAGGATCGGGACAGGCGAGACCGGGACAGACGTGACCGACGCGATGTGAGACGCAAGAGGTCAAGATCACCAGCCAAGAGGTCGCGGTCGCCTCCGCCCCGAGCTCGCTCCCCTCCCAAGAGACGAGTTGTCAGGCCTCCGCCCAGATATGTTGTTCAAGTGCCCAAAATCCAGTTGGATGTGTGAGTAAAGTGTACAGTATGGTGGTGTTGTGAATGTAAGACTCAAAATGTGTGTTAAAAGGTTTCATAAGTGTTGGCGCTGATTTCAATGGTAACATTCTCATCTGTTTAACTCTTTTTTTTTGGGTTTATGTAGGCTAAGTCCCAGATTTCCACATTTGAATGTTCCATCTGGTATAGGGATGTTCGCTGAGATCCAAATTTTAAAATGAGGCCAAGAAAGCGTATAATATATTGCTGATTGTGTCCAGACTGGATGTATATCTGGATATAAAACCAGATTATATAATTATTTTGGCTATCTTTAATTTCTCGTGAAATTTCATATGTTGTGGGGGGTCAATCTAATTCTTGTGCTTTACATTTGAATAGTCATTCGTCACAAAACTAGTTCATTTTTGTGCTTTTGTTTCTCCTTCCACAGACAAGATGCAAATGTGATATCCTTGAAAAGCAAGTACTCAAACCTCTATGTCCCAAGTGACTTCTTCCATGCCTCATATTCCTGGGTTGAGAATTTTCCACTGACTCGGCCCTTCTCTCTGGGGCAGGCCTGTAACTATCACATCATGCACAAGGACGTCCAGCAGATCAAAGAAGATGCTGCTGTCCTCGAGCCACATGATGCTGACCACTTGTTTAGTGCCAAGGTAAACTCTTCCTTTTGTTGTCCACGTAGGGCTCGTTTGGAAGGATGAATTAACATTGTTTTCAGTACTATTTTCATTAAAGTTCTGCTCTTGTGTCTATTCTGTGTATTTTTTTGCAATTTATGCTACTCTTCGAATAGCTTACTGACCAAATGTCTCGAAAAAGTAAATGTTCAGCAGCAGAATTGTTCATCGGGTTTCTTGATAATAATTTAACATTTTTTTGTGCATGAAACCTATAGAGTTACTAAAATTATTCTGTAGCTAATTATTTGCTGTTTATTTAGAAGTGGGAGTTGCGTGCAGAGGTCACATTTCATAGAATAACTTTACACTGTTTATAGGGGTGTTAAAAGTAGACCAGATCGTAACATGCCATGCTTTCATGGTATAGTCAGTAATTGCTCTGGAAGCTGCAAAGAAATTTGTGGCAGTTATGAACTGATGGAAACTTGTTGATGTCAGGTTTTAGTGTGCAGCTGCTGTGTGTGTTTTCCTCAGGTCATGCTCTTAGCTAGTCCACCCGAGGAAGAGCTGTACAGGAAGTCCTGCTGCCTGGCTGAGGATCTGCCTGATGCCATGGACAACTTTCAACACCCAACACGCCTCATTCAGTTCCTGGTGGGCACTAGGGGCAAGAACGAACCAATGGCCATTGGAGGGCCGTGGTCTCCGTCTCTGGACGGTCCTAATCCGCACGCCAATCCGTTGGTGTTGATCAAAACAGCCGTGCGGACCACCAAGGCTCTTACAGGGATTGATCTCAGTTCCTGCACGCAATGGTAGGAAGTTTTGCAATGAAATCCTTGTTGTTGTTTTTTTTAAAGGAGAAAGTGTAGTATGGCTTTATGTTTTTTGTAAACTATGGTGTTACAATTTCCAAATAATGTAAGTTTGTTAAATAACTATCAACTGTTTTGTCTGCAATTTTGTTTGTTTGAATTCATGAGTCTACAAAAAATTTGATGTTGAAGGCAAGGGTTTAAACAAAGATTCTTTTTTTCTGTCTCAATGTTGGCCATTGGCAACATTTTGTTGTAATTGTTCATCTCAGCAGATAAATTAGAGTGTGAAAATGTTAACTACTAGCGTGCACATGTATATTTGATTTTAAAGGTTGTGAAAGATTGAAATGGAGTAAACAAAAATTGCATTTATGGAAAATGAAAAAGTCAGTGTGCAGTTTTGGAAGCTAGTGCTGCTGTCTTTTTCCTTTGTTAACTTCCTCAAGTTTCTCCACAGAAAGGCAGAACTGATAACCAGGAAAAGAACCATTGCGTATGGACTTATTGTTCTTCGGGCAAGGCTTTGTCTTTTCACCTTTTACTCATATTTCTGAGGGTTATTTTCCTTCGCCCGGTGGCCATTACTTCTCTATCTGTTGGCAGGTACCGCTTTGCAGAGATCCGGTACTTCCGCCCTGAGAGTAAGCACAAGGACCGGGTCCAGCCGGCCCGTGTGGAAACTGTGGTACTTTTCTTACCAGACGTTTGGACGTGCAACCCAACTCGTCTGGAGTGGGATTCCCTCCAGGCAGCCTATCAGAAGCAGTTGCAGATGAAGCTGAACCCTGAGGCCACTGCCCAGCAACAGGCACTGTTTTCATACATGTCCCTCCAAACTCTGTAAACTTACCCTGTCCTTTGTAAATTCCCAGTCCCCTCCCCCTTCCATGTTCATTTTAATTTGAATATATTTTGTTTTATGTAAGGTGTTTGTTCTTGATCTGAGTGGCCCGGCACGGCCAGTTCTTCAACAGGCAGAAAACGTTTGAGGTTCTGAAAGCCTAATGGCTCCCTCGTCGTTATCAGAACTCGTTCACACAGGATGACTCAGGTCTACAGTTGTCCCATTTTTTCCCAGTGTTATGGAGACTTTCATGACATTTGCTTGTTGTCGGTTTATTTGCTGGTGCTAGGATGGAACTTTGGAAAGAAGTGCTAGCGAAGGGGAGGAGGAACTGCAGACGAATTGATAAATATTTTACTTGTCCTTTTTCAGTATCTCTAGACTGGATGCTTTGAACAGCTTGCAGACCATGTTCACATTATATATCTGTACTGTTGCATTTGGACTGAGAAATGCCACTTGTTTGTGTTCGAGATAGCTCTTTGTCTAAAAGCTTATGTATTGTCAAAATGAAAATGTTTTTTGTGTGTACTTTGTCTGTGTGCAGCTTGTCATATGTGAAGGAGAAAGCCAGAAGTCTTGTTTTGTTTTTTTGAGATTGTTGTCACTGTGCCATATTTACAATGAATTTTAATTGTGTTTTCTTATTTGTCAATTACCTTAATCTAGAAACCTTTTTCTAAACAGGAAGAAGACGAGGAAAATGAGGATGAGAAAACAGAGGGAAAGCCAGAACCGTCTCACTATTCTTCTCTTGATCCAAAAACGATGAAGGTGAGAAAGACTATGTTGCGAGTCTTAAGATTACTCAATGTCCAATTTAGCTTTGTTTCTTTTGCGTCTTTAAAACACCTTATGTGTTTTGTTTCACCATTTGTTTTTCTCTCATTCATGATCCTCTGATTTCGATGTTTCAACACCCCCCCGGGGGCAGTGCCACTGACTAGTGTCTTTAGGCCATTCCCAAAGGGGGGACATTTCTCGTTCAAGCATAGTAGAATTGTAAATGGGCTGACTCATGTCATGCTCATAACTGTGCCTGATCTACAACAGGGAACTGCTGCTTTTTCTTTCCTGATCCTTACTATTGTCATTTTCCTCTACTTCTTTTGTATGTTTGTCACTCTCTTGTGACCTGCTATTTCTGGGGTGCCTTGATAGTCGAAGCAGACCTTGTGCTGTTGAAGCTAGATAGGTGAGCAGTCTAAGTCTGATTCCCTGTAAGGACTTCTCTGTTGACACCCACCCTTTGACGCTCATATGACCTTATGCAGTTGCAAGCGCCTTTAAACCCTCTACTATTTTTAAAAAAAAAGAAAAAGATGTTTCAACAATAGAAATCCATTACACTGGTCTACAAAATTTAACTTTTTTTTTCTGTGGCATTGAGTTGAGACCTGATTTATAGCAAAATTAAAACTAAGAAGGCTGTCATGCAAATTGGAAAGGTGCCTTTGCATTTCAATCTTATGATTATCTGAGTCTGTTCTGGTGAAAAGTGTTTGTTCATGTGCTGACTTGTTGCAAGCTACAGCTCAACTATGACATGATCATAGTATGTGCCACGATACGGTGGAACCAGGCGCTCATCTAGTTTTGGGCACATGGAGTCTTTGGTATCGTCTTAAAGCCTGTTCATTTTCCTTGTTTTTGAATTTTAAAAAAGTACCTATCTATCTTGGATAGAAGTCAAGATATTCGGGACTGAAGGAGGTGGAGGTCACCTGGTGTCTGAGGTAAAAAAAGTGAGAAAATGGCCACCAAAGTTTTTTAGTGACTTTCAAAGCTTTAGTGTCCTTTGAAACTTCAAATTTAACTTAATTGTGCCTTTGATCAATGTTTTCAGTAAAATCCACATACTGGTAGTTTGCCTGTAAACTAGATAATGTTAGTTTGCTGAATGTGTTCTTGTATTTGGCTCCTTTTCCCAATATTCACGTAACTGTAATAAAGTTGAAAGAGTGATGAGACTTCAATTAATGCTGCTTTTTACCATGGTCTATAAAAAAATTAATTTACTGTTGTGCTGGTAAGCAATAACGCTTGTCTGTGTCGTAGTGCTTTGTCGCTCAAGCTGGTGGTCGGTGAATGCATTTTAGTTGTTGGCTGTTGCCTTTCTGTTTTTCATGTTGGCCCGTCAAAAGCTTTGAGGCAACAACTTCTTTTCGATAATTTCTTGTTTGTGACCTTGTTCTCTATCAGGTCGGCGACCTACGTCATGAACTGGAGTTGCGCAGCATCAGCCCGAAAGGCCTGAAGTCACAACTGGTAGCTCGCCTGACCAAGGCGTTGAAGGCAGAGGAGGAGAAAGAGCAGGAGAACAGGGAGTCAGAGGCAGAGAAAGCTGCTGTAAGTTAATAGTTTGTACAACATGTTTCATCCATTAATTGTAGAGACTTGATAAGCAAATCTGATCATTTTCTAGGAGAGACAAATGGGTACATTTTAATTCTGCGAATGTCATGAGGCAGTGAAACTGTTATGGCTATAGACATTATCATGCTGCAGCAAGGAGACTATTTTGCCCATTGTTGTGCTACTTTGTATTTGCTACCTGAGCAATAACGTGTACAATCTAGCTGATTGCTGTTGCATGTCTTGTAACAGTTTTTGGCTACTGTGCAGAAGGCTAAGATTCTCTCCTTATATAAGATTTTCTAGTCTGGTTAAACCAATGTTTAGAGTAGGAAGGGATGGGCTGAAGTGTCAATATAGGAAGGACTTGAATTTGAAATTTTTTCGAATAAAGTAGCCCCTTGTTCTGAGCTGTGTTATTTAAGCATTCAGTCAACGTTTTTGTTTGTTTTGAGAGTGGAAAAAAGTTATGCTTCATTTTTTGCTTTCTTCAGGAGGAGGAGGCTGCTAAGGAAGAGGAAGAAATGGACAAATCAGAGGGAGAAGAGGAAAAGAGTGAGAGCAAGAGGATAGAGGTAAATCAGTGTGTGTGTATAATGTGATATTCTGATATGCTTTATTTGCTGAGTAGTTGAATGTTGTGCTGTTGACAGAATGTTCATGTGGATAGTAATGACCCCCAGCCCCCCTCCCCAACTAGAACTTGCTCATGGTTTAACCAAGAAATTTGGTGCTTGAAGGTATGCAGTATTTGCACGTCAGTTTTAGATAAATAGGCATGAGAACTAACATATTTTTTTTTCTATTGTGTGTACTGCGTCATATTTATTCTGTTTAATTGTGATGTCCTCTTGCTTTTTTGATAGGTTTATGAAGTTTTAGTAAGTAAAATATGGATCGAGACATCCTTGGTGTCTCAGTCTATGTAACATACGAAAACTCAAGTCCCTGAAAAGCTGGTAACTTTTTTTTACGATCCCTTTTTGTCTTTCTGCCTGATTGTCTGTGTTGCTTTTCCACAGCACTAATTGGTCATAACCTCTTTAATCAAAAGGGAGATCTTTTAGGAAAGAAATTTTTTGTGAACAAAAACAAAAGTTAAAAAAAAAAATTTATGTGGATGCTTTCAACATCAGAAACACTATTTTTATTTTGCGAATGGTTATTTGGCACTTAGATTTTGCTACTTGTACTAAAATGTTAAAGGTTTCTCTACGTACATCGTGTTGTTTGGATGTTTGATGGGTGCTCTGGTATGGTCTTTGCTTTCTATTTTTTTCTTCTTTGTACTATCATCCAAATCTGTTCCTAGTAAATCTGCTCACGAGGAAGCTACTTAGTGATGAAATAAGTGGTTGTATGATGAAGCAGAATAAACATGACACGGTTGAGCTAAAAATAAGAAAAAGGAAACATGTGTTTGTGGTGCATTGCTTGCTTTTTATTCTGGTCTTTTCCCTGTACGTCTGTTCAGTGATATTATGATCCGAATCTGTTCCGAGTGAAATGTTTGTCTATCTTGCAATTCAACAAAAAATTACAACTTGATATGATACATTCTGTAATTTTTGTTGGAACAGGAAGAAGAGCAGCAGAGGAAAGAGAAACGTGAGCGTGCTGTGCTGGAGCGTCGGTACAAACTTCCTGAGTGTCCTTCCATTATTGTTCACCCCTCGGCCACAGCGAAGGGGGGAAAGTTTGACTGTGCACTCATGTCTCTCAGTGTGCTGCTTGACTACAGACCTGAGGACAATAAGGAACATTCATTTGAAGTAAGTTCTTGGGTCCTGATTTGTACTGCATGAGACCCCAAAGGAAGACTGTTTGTGGGTGATTGACGGGTGCTCTTGTATAGTTTGCTATTTCTTTACTATCAAACATCTATGTTTTTTTTGGTGTGTTTTTTACTTATATTACCTTATTTTTTGCAAGTGCCGTAAAACTCTTACTAAAACTAAACTATGGAGCTGTTTATAATACCATAGTCTGTTTTCATGATTAAGTTGAAAAAAGTAGAAAAATTGTTTAAAAAACTAACCTTTGGTCAATGGAAAGATGGCAATACTACATACTAGCTTAAGTGAGAACTTCAGTCTTCCATGGCAGATATTGTCTTTGGGAACTTTTTTTGTTTGATTCTGTTGTATAAACCTGCCTGTCAAAATGATATATCTGGGCTGGTGCTGTCTCTTATAATACATTACCTGTCTTTTCAGATTGTCCTTTATCCTATGTGACTATGTTTTGATTTATTACATGCCGTAAAACCTCTACTAAAACCTCTTTTGACACATTTTACTGAGAAACACTATAGAATTTTTGTTCTTTTCTTGCTTACTCCATTTTCAGGTGTCCCTGTTTGCTGAACTGTTCAATGAAATGTTAATGAGGGACTTTGGATTTCAAATCTACAAATGTGTCGCTAGTGCTCCTCCAAAGAAGGAAGAGGAAAAAAAGAAGGATGAACGGAAAGATAAGGAAAAAGAAAAGGATGATAAGAGGGAGAGAGAGGATCGCAAAGATAAAGATGAGAAGAAAGACAGGGAAAAGAAGGAAAAAGAAGACAAAAAGAGGACGGACGTGAGTACAAGATGGTTTACTTCCCAAAATGTATTTTCTTTTGGGGGAGGGGGGGGGGGGCTGTGGTTGTGGACATCAGTTACTTTCACAAAATGATGCTCTTTTCTGCTGTAGATGTAACTTGCTTCAGTTTCTCTTTAGTTGTAGCAAATGAGCAGACAGGAACTGATTTGACCATACTATTTTACTGCAGATTTGTGGTTACTGTCAAAGTTTTAGGTTCCCTATCCCCTAGTTCCTAATTTTCAGTCTGCTGCAAATGGCATTCTGGCTTTTTGCAGAGATAAAATTTACATGAATGGTGTGGGGTATGCTCTTTCATGGCAGTCGTGTTGTGTGTCCCCGGTGAAAAATAGTATAGGTTTAACACTCTTGTCAACACTATTAGGCTATTTGAGAGGCGGGACCACCGTGTTTAAAGCTCATCTCTGAAATGACTGAGCCAAATGGAGCTTTTGCGTAAAGTGCTTTTCCCAAGGACATAACATCAGACCGAGCTGAGGATTGAACCCCTGAACCCGCAATCTCACGATTACAAGTCTTGTTCCCTAACCACTAGGCTACTCACGAGACGCGTGTTCCTGGTGGGACTGAAAGAAAAGTAATGTGCAAGGATGTGGCCTTCTAGGAATAGATTTACAGTGAAGGAGTGTGAATTCTCTTTGGATGAGTACATGGTTATAGCATGGTGTTTTCTCATTTTACTCTCTCATATTCAATGAAATGCTGATGATTGCCAAAGACAAATCTATTGCTGGAAGACTGACAAACATTGAAGTGTAAAATGGCATTTGTAGGAGTCTTGCATTCAGTTATCGAGATGTGCCAGTTCTCTAGATGCTGATGTGAGAGATTCTATGAAGGTGGAGAGAACAAATTGTTTGACTGAATTGATATTTCAATGAAATTAATATTACAAATGTTAAGGAGTACTGTTGATGTGTAAAGAAAAAGTATAAAATAAAAAAACTAATCGTAATTTTTTTATTCTTCTGTCCAGGAACCAAGCCCTAAAAGAAAGAAATCCCTAGATAAGGTATTCACATGTGTTTGTAAATTGATTTTTGTGTTCTGTGAAAATTGTACTTTTGTTGCGCTGCTAGGGTAAATAGAACAGAAGTGTTATGTGAGGCTCTGTAGTTTTAGTTTAGTTTTAGTAAGGTTTTACGGCGCTCGCAATTGCATAAGGTCATATGAGTGCCAAGGGGTTGATGTCAACAGAGAAGTTCAAATAGGGAATCAGGCTTACTCTGCTCACCTCTCAAGCCTCAACAGCACAAAATCTGCTTCGACTATCAAGGCACCCCGGAAATAGCAGTTTACAAGAGAGTAATAAACATACTAAAGAAGTAGATGAAAAATGACGAATGTAAGGATGAGGACAGAAAAAGCAGCAGTTCCCCTATTTTGTTCCGGCACAGATTGAGCATGACATGGATAAATCAGCCTATTTACAATTCTACTGTGCATAAGAACATGTTAATATCCCCCCTTTGGGAATGGCCTAAAGACCCCTTCAGTGAGTAGCTCCACCCTTGTGGGGGTGGGTTGCTCTGTGGTTTATTGTGGCCTGGGTTTTTTACAATTGGTCAGAGAAGTTTGTATTGCTGTCATTAATTAAAGTTGGTGGTCAGAGTATGCCATTGGTATGTCTTATTTCTTTTTGCCTGCTCTGAATGACTGTCATCCGGTTGACATTTTTTTTTTCTCAAAGCTGAACTTGAATCCATAACATTTTCGAAAGGTTACTCGTAGATAATTGTTTGACTTTTTTTGCTGTATATTTTCTTTACGCTTTAACCTTTAGAGAACACCATTACTTGAACACAGTTACTTTTACCTATATGTGTCATGCTCTGTACTGCAAGAACACCCTCAGTCTTGGATACCAAAGATATTTTTTAAAGGTTATGGGGTTCTCCCCCCCCCCCCTCTTTTGGGGGTATAGTTACCCTGAAATAAATAAGGGGTTCAGAGGTTCTATTGTCATCAAATATTATTAGTAGACCCTATTTTGTGGGTGGCTGGCGGGTGCTCTGGTGTGGTTTGCTTTTTTTTCATATCAAACATTGATCGTCCTTACCTCCCCTTCTTCTTTTTTATGTTTGTTACTCTCTTGTAACACGTCTTCTAGCGCTCGTATGACCTTATGCAGTTGTGAGCGCCGTAAAACCTCTACTAAAACTAAAAGACCCTGTTAAAACGGCCAAATTATTTAAACGGCCAAATAAACCTTAGTAGAATTAGTTTTCATTTGTGGACACACTATTAACAACCCCCCCCCCCAAAAAAAAACACAAAACAACAACTGCCGCCCAGCACATGAGCCATGCAAAATAAGATCTACTTGTTCTTAGGCGGGCAGTTTTGATTCTTGTGAAAATTAACTCTTACTTTGATGGGATTATTGTTAACGCACACTCTTTGTTGTAGTTTTATAATAACTGTTACTGTGTCACATCTGTGTGATTGTACAGTTGAAGTCATTGGATGATGTGTGGATTCTACAGTTTAGTCTTCAGAAAGAGGGCTATTCAGTTTTTAAGTAAAAATTCATCCAATGTTGCCTTTCAGGATGAAAAAGAGGAGAAAAAAGAAAAAGACGAGGCTATGGATGAGGACAGCACCAATGGGGACAAAGATGAAGAGACAGATGTAAGTCATTGCACTTAGTTGAATTGGGTTTTTAAACCTTTTATTTTGTTTTTGTTTTTTATTTTGGCAGAGGTTGGGAAAGAATAGTAAAAAAAAAAATCAAATGAATATACAGTGGGTGTCGCATTCAACGAGAAGTCGGCTCCAACGAGGCAATCCTTAACCCCCGATTTTTTCCTCTGTATCTTTTTATAAATGTATGTCAACTCCAATGAGGTTGCAAACAGAACGAAGTTGCTCTCAACGAGGTCGCAATAACCAAATAAAAGTTATAAGCAGCCCCAAAAGTGAGGAATTTTTCTCCTTTCTCTCCATCTCCCGCGAAACACAAGGCCCATCCTCGATTCCTAACGCATTGTAGATCTAATGTACCTCCTAATATGGACGCCAAAGCCAAGAGGATGGGAGTGGGTGGGTGGGAACGCGATGGGGGCTGTGTGAAACTGGATAAACTGTGGATGGGTAGGTCTACATCGAGTCCTTCATTTTTTTCAATTTTCTTCTCTTGCCCTGATAAGAAAATCCAAGCTCCCGCCTTCACTTTATGTAGATCTAGGCCTAGATGTGAGAGGGTATGTTTCCACTCTAGAAGTGTTCCGGAAAATGATTTTTAAAAAATACAGAAATGACTGTCAGAACACAGCTCAAACACTCGCACCCTGATGCTGTTTTGAGATTTTCATCATCAGGGGGAACAACTGTTTGAATTAATGGGATTGGTACACCGTGTAATTGTAACTTGTCTCCTTTTTTTTCTTTAGCCTTAGTCACGTTCAACGAGAGGTCGGATCTAACGAGGACAACAAGCTGGTCCCAGCAACCTCGTTGAATGCGACACCCACTGTACTAAATTTCTGTTTGTTTAATTTTCAATGGTTAATCAGTGAAGGTGAATTTTCTGCGTGCTATTTTTAGAATGTCTTTTAATAATTGCCCATTTTTATGATTTTTCAGGACAGAGATGATGAAGACAAGAAAGATCGAGGTATGCAAATTTGATGTGTTGTATGTAGTGTCAGGTATTTCAATACTCACATGGACTGTGTATTGATGCAAAAGGGGATGATGAAAAGGGTAGATTAAAGGTCTATGCCTTTTAATTCTCACACACTGCTTTGGGTGAAATGTAAAGGAAGTAAATACATTTGACTTCATTCAAGAAGTCACAGAAAGTCTTTCTATTTCGGCTGCCCAGTGTAAGACTGTCATATGTCACTTTTCAAACTGGCGTATGGCAGAGTCTTACACTTTGCAGTCGATTTGTTTTTCTTTTATTTCTCATATTTAATTTTAGCCTCTGTTATGTTTTGTGTTAAAAAAAACCCATTTTATTTTATATATCTTTGTGTGTTCCTGAATTCAAATTACCCTCTTATTTGTATATTTCAACAAATGTCTCTTTATGGTAATTCACTTTTCAGATGACAAGAAAAAAAAGAAAGAGGAGGATCGTACGAAGACCACCAACCCGTCCCTGCTGCTGGCTTTCTCATACTTTGACCAGAACCACTGTGGCTACCTCACAGACAAAGACACTGAAGAGATTATCCACACCTTAGGTCTGAAGCTGTCAAGGGCACAGGTAAAGCTTACTTGCTTGTGAAAGTTTTTTTCCACTGTTAATCCAGTGTATGTTATGTTCTCAAAACAGTGAGCACTTTTCAGTCATTGAAAAGTGCATTCTAGTGACTGCTAGTATGTGAATGAAAAGTTGAAAAATGATTGATTGATGGGAACGGAAAAATAAAACTGTTGTACTTTGGTATTAGTTACTGATTTTTAAGTGCAATTTTTCCTCTTTTTTTTTTAGATGCAAGTCTGCTGGTTGATAAAATCTGAAAGACTAGCTGCTTTTTATATGTGTCGATCTGGTGTTGTTGTCTGTCTAGCTCAGTGCTATGGAAACCAGGATAATTACTGCCTTAGTGGGGGCTCTGTAGTTTAAAGGAAATTTAATTTATTTTGGGGGAACATGGCTTCAAATAGAAAATACTTGATTCTACCTTTTTCTAAACTTTGTAGTCAGAAATGAAGGAAGTGTTTCTTTCCCCTTGCGACTGCTGCCTGCAAGGTCTAGCTGTTTGGGGTAAGTGAATGTTTGCCCTCAATTTAGGGACAAATAGAGTTTTGCTGGGTTTAATAAATATTGCTTTCGTGTAATAGCAGTTTATGTTTACTGTCGCAACTACTGTTTGCAGGTGAAGAAAATCCTGCTGAAAGTGTTGGCGCGAGATGTGTTCAAGTACCGCAAGCTGACAGATCAGAATGTGGATGAGAATGGAGTGCCCATGGAAACAGAACAGGAAGAGGCAGTTTCCAAACCAGACCCAGAGCAACTGGCCAGAGGTAGTCTTCTCTCACATTTCACTTTCTTCCCTCTATGCTCTCTCTAGACCTGCATGTTTGCCGACAATCGTCTGAAATCCGACAATCGTGACCCGACCCGTGAGCCGGCCGATGCTATGGCAAGGCCAACCCGTATTATAGTCAATGTGCGTAGTGCGAGGCCTGGCCAACTGCCAGCGCCCCCTTTTTCTACTGTCGGCTTTGTCGGCACTTTCGTTTTCGTACCGACGTCGGCGTTTCCGACACAATTGTCGGAACCCGAGTAGAACTGCGAATACGGAAAAGGACGACGACCTAAATTATCTACTTTCAGTTTCGTGCTCGAGCGGCCATTTTGAATTTCGTTTGACTAATTCAATTGTTCAGATCATGTGGATTCATTCAAGTCCGACTCACTTGTTCTAATAGATCTAGATCTAGATTTATAGATCATTATAGACCTCAATGGAGGATTCATATTCCAATTCTATTGTGTCAAACCCTATTATAGGTTGTGCTGTAATATTAATGTTGGTAAAAAGCATTTAATCAGGTGCGTGAATTATTTATTTTTTTAGAATCTAAATCTAGATCTATATGGAGGATTCATATTCCAATTCTAGTGTGTTATTGTATCAAACCCTATTAGAGCAACGTAGATGTAGGCCATATTATGCTCCTGACCTTGTTTGTTTTGGAGTGTGTTTTTTTTTTTTTTTTTAGGTTAAATATTTTTTCATTTTGGACTTGTGCTGGCCTTTTTACATGAGGCCCGTTGCACTTTCTTTTTTGAGATAGGCTTAGGGGTAGGGTTAGGTACTCAGAAGTCCTTCCTTATGACACCCACCAAAGCTCTTAGGGGGGGGGAGGGGGGGTTGCGCAAAATTTTCAGACAATCTGGTTGAGGCTCACATGCAGGTCTATCTCTCTCTTTCTCTCTCTCTCTCTGCCACAACCTTAGCCTAATTAATTTCAGGCTTGCCAACTGTCCTGAATATCCTGGGAGTCTTGGATTCAACGATCGGGAACTTTAGAGCCTTGGCACATGCCTGACACTAAAACCAGTCCCACTTCATGTAATTTTTTCATTGTTTTATGTAATCCAGTGTTATAATGCTGGGTGTTCCTGATTGGGTTTTGAAAAAGTTGGCAAGCCCGTAATTTTCTCAGGACTGTAAATCCAGTCTTGGGATGTATTCTGTACTTTTTGTTCGTCATTTGTTAGTATGATACTCTTCTTATGAAAAATTAGTAGTACTAGGGCAATTAAGTGTTGTCTATGCTCTCCTTTCTTTTATCTTCATGCTTATCTGAATATGTTTTTTTTGTGAAATGAAGACTAGCTGTAATTTTATTCTAACAGCATTTTGGCATTTTTATTTGTATATTAAAGCTTGAGATTCAGTTTGGGAGGAGCATGTTTGTGTGATGTTGTCGTTCTCATCCCTTTGCTTTGAAGTTTGTTAGCGTTTGGTTTATGATGTGTTCAACGTGTAAGTGAAGGAGAAGCAGTGGTTGTAGAGTAGATTGATATTTTCAGTTGAGTTTCGCTCTGTAACTATTAAGTGCAGTTCCCGTTGTCTAGGATGGTCACCCATTGTTGAGGAGGACAGTGTTGTATTAGACAGGTGGACGTCTTATTTAGTATCGTATGAAAATGTAAAAGATATGCAAGGGCAGAAATGGTAAATTGTTGTTTGTACAGGTAATTGTTGTTTGTACAGGTAATTGTGTTATACAGGCGACTGGTAGAACAGGATTGACACTACCGATTTCTTTGTTTTTGTGTTTTCAGGTAACAAAGAAAGTTTGCGTAAACTCTTGCAACTTTCTGGAGTAAAGACGGAAACGGCTTCCTCATACAGCGCAGTCTATGAGTCCATCAAAGAGGAGAATCCCAATTTTGTCTACTACAAGGGCTCATTTTTGGATATAGAATCTCTGATGCAAAGACTTGAAAGGAGCGAGAAATCAAGAACTGCTTTAGAGAAAAATCTGACTGATCTGACCGAGGAGCTCAGTAAGTTGTTTGCTTTCTGTTAATGTTGGTGTTTGAACTTGTTGACAGTGTTGATGTTGTAGGAACATGCTCCTGAAAAGCTTTGCTTTACTGAAGATAGCAGCATCTGTCAATCTACTCTCTTTTTTTAAAAATTACCATTTCACAGAAAATGAGTTATTTTTCCCTTTGGATTTTACCATTTCTGTGAAATTACATGTGCACACAGAGATGCCAACCAGTACGATTTTGCGTATTTTAGTACGATTTTTTGCCGAAAATACGCGAATACAACTTTTCATGAAAAAATACGCACCCTGGAATGCGAAAAATACGAGATTCAGCTTGGGCGAGTAAACCTAATTATCTCAAGTCCCATCTTTTAAAATAGTATCAGTATCGCAGAACTGGAATATTTGAAAACCTAGTCCGATAAGGTCAGTAAGTTCATTTTGCCGGTTGCCATCGTGATATTATATTCGTTCAGCTTTTCCCGGTCCGTACTGTACGTTTCACTTTCACGTGTATAGGCAGCTATGGCGGCAGGCGGAAGCGTATTGGACACCGAGGCTCGATCGGGAAAATCAAGATCTACTTTTGCTTTCGCTACCACCAAGAAGTTTGCCAGCAGTTGTCTGATAACGCAATATTTGTGGCATGTAGGTTGTGCAGTATAAACGCAATGTCGCCGTGCAAATAAAATGTAATAAACACTCGGACTCATCGCTTTGGCTGTCGCTTGTGGAAAGAAAAAGAAAAAAAAGAAAATACAAGCGTCGTCTGATTTTTAGATTGTCTGGCTCGCCATCGTGACCGGTCACTGAACCTGCGCGCATTCGCGTCATAAAAAAATGCGGCATCGTGTGAGTAAAGACCGTCTTTGGTGGGAGTAACGGACGCTGCGAAGTATATGACTACAGAATAGGGGAGGAGATTATCGATTTTTTTGGGTTTAAGATACTATCGGGGGGGGGGGGGGGGGGTTTAAGGCAACACTAGAGGACAAAAACTTGGAAGCGCATTTCAGAATTTTGATTAGAGCTTTCTGCTAAGCGCGCGTTGGTGCAGGCCGTGTGCGGAATCGGGACCCGTCATACTTTGCAAGTCTGTGTTATTGAAATAAAGTGTTCGCGTTTCATTTGATGGGTGGAAGTAATTATACCTACTTGGATGGGTGATAGTAAATTATATCTACATTACATCTACTTGGATGGGTGATAGTAAATTATACCTACGGTGTATGTTGTAGCTTTCTGTTCAAGACTGGCAGATTTTCAGTGTCACTGCATCTTGCCCTCCCACAGTTGTTACAACTCTCACAGTGCACGGGTCTACTTGAGCCTTTCAAGTTATTGCTGTTCTCTGAGTTTGAGCAATAATTTGAGTCTGTCAGTTCATAAATGAATCATGACACCCAGACTGGTTCTTGATAGTCGAAATTCTTGTTCTAGGCCCTTCCGAACTCTCAAAGCAGGATTCATTTTTTATATAATAATGAGAGGAAAATATATAATAGATTGAAATACTTAAGTCAAACAAGACACCTGTACGACGTTGAACAGTGACATGTTGTTGACTGCGTACATATATATTGTACGCGTGTGTGCTCCCTTTTTCGAGCTGGTGAGCTAGTAATTTTTACTATTACTAGTTGGTCGGTCGTGGGGAATACACATTTTCCCCTGAAAATACACATTTTCATATTTCCTAATACTCATTTCAGTTTTCTGTGGTTGGCATCTCTGTGCACATGATGTAGAGCCTTGTTTACTGAAACTTTTTTTCTGTTATAGTCTGAGCCGTGGCCACATTGACGCTGTTACCATTGTTATGTGATGATAATTAACTTTTTTAGGATGTAACTGAGCAGTAATTTTGTTTTTATCTGCCATTTTATGGTGCAATTCAGGCTTGTAATTTTTTACCTGAATTTCTAGTTCTAATGGAGACCAATGGTGGGAGAAAAGTAAGTAGCATTCATTTCTCATGCTATTTATAACACCCCAAGTTTGTTTAAGAATTCTGTCTTCTTCTCTGGATTGCCATTGTGTTGAGCAGTCTCTTTGCTGCCTCTATCCGCTCTTATGCAATTATCTGTCGCGTTCGATGCTTTCATGGTCTTGTACAATTGTGAAGATGAATCCAGTTGAACATCGGTTGGCTTTCAAACTTTGTCTCTCATTCTAGTTATCAGACTGAAGTTGTAAAATGCTTTGTAATTTCGATTTTATGCATATTATGTGTCAAATCTATAACTATATTTTGTTGTTCTTTCAGAGGGAACTAAAGACAATCTCCAAGAGCTGACAAGTCAGTCCTCCAAGCTACAGCAGGACTTGCGTTCTGTTCGTTCGGACCTTGACCACGAGAGAAAGTTGAGTCACTCTGCAGAAGCTCTCAACAAAGATTGGCACAGGGCTGCAGAGCTTACAAAGTGAGTTGGGGGTTGCAAACTTGTGGGAAAAAAGAAGAAAAGTTTTGCTGAGGAATAGATTTGGATTGTTTTTTTGCTTTGTTTCATTCGTTAGATGATCCAAAAAGTTGAACTCTTGCTGCAGTCTGGCTGATCAGTTGTTTTGCTGGTTCCTTAGTAGTCAACTACTTCCTTCTTTTCCATTCTTGTAGCCTCTGTGGGTAATTGGTGGGTGCACTTATGTGGTCCACTCTTTTCAGGGCTGTCTTTATATGAAATGTAGCTATCATGTCAACTCAGTAGACAACAAATTTATATATTCTGTATTAATTGTTGACCCTTTCTGGCAACTTTCTTGGACTGCTACTTTTATGAATAACAGGTTGACTACGGATGAGTTGATGTCGTTGGGGTAGTGAAAAATACATCAACTCATCTGAAGTTCAACTTAACCTGTGGGAATTATGAAGAAGAAGAGGTGTTGGGACCGGAGAAAAAGATAAACTTAAAGATCATCTCAAGCCATGGCTTTCTAAGTCCAGGCCACAGAGCCTGCATGACTGGCTCCGGCATTGGAGGCCTACCGTGTTCCCGGAGGGTCAATGCGAAAAGCGGCGATAGACTAGTGCGTTGGTGCGGGTGATGGAGCATTATCGCACTGTACTCACTAAACTGGCCTACAACGAACCTTACTTAAATGCAATGCATTTTTGTTGTTGCAGCTTTTTTTGTGAAAGTTTATCGGCTCTTATAACAAGAGAAGATCTCACCAGTGACAGAGTATCAATACGTCAACATGAAAATGAATTACGTTTGCATTTTATCACCCAAAAAAAAGACCGTGGCACACTAGTGGGATAACTTTTGTTCTTCACTTGCAACATCGTTCTCATTCTACATGCTTCAACAAGTATGAAAGTAAATTAAGTTGACACACACACACAAACACATTATATATATATATATATATATATATATATATATATATATATATATATATATAGAGAGAGAGAGAGAGAGAGAGAGAGAGAGAGAGAGAGAGAGAGAGAGAGAATAATATATATACTAGCTGGGCCCCCGTTTAAGAAACGGATAGAGACAGAAGCGTGTTGCTTGTTCCCTGTAGCAAGAAAAAGAATTTGACAAAGGAGTCCAGAAAAAGCGATGGTGGGCATCCAACGAAAGGATCACAGTCGAATTTAGCAACAAGATAAAAAAAAGAAAACATGAGGTAAGATCTATACGGGTCGCAGACTTAAAATAGTGCTCAGTATTGCGCGACAATGCGCGATAGTATCGAACGGAAGTACGACTTGAAATATACAAACCTGGCGGATTTTCTAAAATTACTGAGACAGAAGCGTCGGCCTACAAAAACGATCGGCGAAATAAAGAAATTTAGCTTTTTGCAGCAAAACTGTCTCAAAACTGAAAAAACCAAGGGCGTCATGATGTGGAGAATATTTTTAATAATCTTTTTGCGAAAACCTCATGTCGATCGATGCAGCCATTAAAAAGCCTTTGGAATAGCAAAATTCGGCCACCACAAATAGATAATAGATATTATACTAAGCATGTATTAAACACAATCCCTTACCTCTGAAAAAAAAGTTACTTTGCTATTTTTTTCTTTGCCTGTCCTTCATTTGCTCCGCAAATCTTTTCGTGAAGATATCTGCCAGCCACATCAGCTTACGATAACAATCAAGATAGGAATATTGCTGGACAGTCCCACAAAATCTCCACTAATCAGTTTCTGCAGTTTTTCAGTTGTTTCCATTAAAAAAAACCCTACTCAACAAGTAGTAGTAGTAGTGTAGGCCAACAATGTCTCTCTGGAAGGTTACACACGAAGTGCAAAATTTCATCTAGGCTAACTGACTCTAACATGTGACAACATCTCTAGTGAAGCCAGGATGCCTGATGTGCTTCAGTTTGTGAAGCTTCAAATGAAACCTCTTTCACGTGGTCATGGGTATGGTAAACAAAAGTAAAGTACATGGAAAATGCAAAAACAGGGCCATCTCGAGTTCTGTTGAGCAAGACAAATGTATTATAATAATCTTTATAGACCTGCATGTGAGCCTCAGCCAGATTGTCTGAAAATGTTGCGCCCCC